TATATATATACATGAGATAGAATTACAAGAATCTATATCAAACAGATTTTAAAATTTTTATCCATCAGCCATTACTGAACTTAAAAACTGTAATAAGAACTGAATAAGTGCAATAAGGGACAACTAGCGTAATATCAATCTAATTGTGTTGCACATTTGGAGTGTTAAAAATGTGTAATTATTACCTTTTATACAATTTATACTTTTGCTCTGGGAAGAAAACCCAAATTTCATTGTACAGTATTTAGGTGCAATGACAATAAAGGTCTATATTATATTCTTTTTCATCAAATTAAACTGAACTCTGCAGTATTTGCTCTCTCTCGCAGCTAAAATGATTTTTTTATTTATTATTATTATCAATATAGTAATTTCCATTAATTAAAACCTAATTACTAAATTAAACCAGGAAGTTTTGGTAAAATGCAGACTGCATAATCCGGTTAGCAGACATCCATGTTCTTGAACTCCTATGCAGCTGTGGCTAAAAGAAGAAGAGCTGACTGAGATGAGTTTAATGAAAACATCCTGTCCTGCTTTGTTTTTTGTTCTCAACCTTCATAAATAAATAAATATATTTTTTATGCATGTAATGCTGTGGTTATGACACTAGAGGGCACTGTGCACACACATTTTAAATCCCCAAGTTAGATTTCAGCTCTGTGATCACGTCAGGTAAAAAGGAAAAATAGCTATTCAGTCTGATAGCAGCCTTACAAGTAGTTCAGCATATTAATAAGATTAAGGTCAGGAGTCCTAGGAGTGTCAGTAGGACCAGTAATCCAGTCAGCAAGACACTACCGTTAAGATGTCTTACAATAATCCCATAAACACAGACACGTTCGTTTCATTTTCTCCACACACGTAAACTTTTACACTCCAACACATGCAGGGAAGTTTTAAAATTCTTACAGTGTCTAATGATTTTTGGACACGTTTTTAATTGAATTTAGTTCTTTTCACATCTAGAAACAATAATAAACAATAGCTTTGCCTCACGGCATCTTAAACTGAATTTATGGTGGATGTGACAAAGATACCAAATATTAAACTCCACACAGAAAGGATAGAAAGATCTGGCCTTTGTTGCTGTAAGGTGACGTCATTTTCTATTACCACTATCAAACTAATACAAGTTGGTTTTTAAAAAGTGGGGCATTCTGCGTGCAGCTTTCTTTTCCTCTCGTGGCCTTTATAAGTACTAGATCAAGAATTTAAAAGGCTTAACATTCCACAAAGAAATGCAAATCACTCGCATATTTTCATGCCAGAGTTTTGACCGAAGATCATCACGAGAAAGGATGTTCTGGTCAAAACTTGATCTCGCGCAATATTTTGACATCTTGGGAGATGTGTTAGCACTTAGGATATGTGTTGAGGATGAGTCTTAGCTACTAGCAAACCAAACTTTAGCTCACTTCCTGTATAATTCACTGAGCTTGAGTCATTTTTGTGTTGGCTAAAGCCGATTAGTTGTGGTGACCATTCTGAATTGGGGGTGACTCCAGAAGTTAATCGTTTTGTAGTCGTGCATTCAGCGGTAAGTTTCTGAAAGTTTCATTAAAATCTGTCCAGGGGGCCATGGGATATTTTGCTAACAGACAGAGGTGTCTTACAATAGTTAATGGCAAAGTTTTAAAACCAGATCTTGTGCAATCAGCTATTGCTCAGAGCATGTGTTCAGGATGACTCACTGCCACTAACGCACACAATTTCAGTTTAATATCTGAAAAATTGGCTAAGTTAGAGCTGCTGTTGTGTTCGCTAAGATTGCTTAGTCGTGGCGGCCATCTTTAATGCAGCTGACTTTGTTAATCAGCTGAAGATGTGCATTCAATGTTAAGTTTCTGAAAGCTTCATTAAAATCTGCACCGTAGTTATTATTCAAATGGTACAGACAAACATACATACACAGGCAAAAACATTATCGCCCCACCTTCACCTTTGCTGGCAGACGATAACAAAACAGAGAGAGAGAGACATGGTGGATATCATGAAGCACGGCACCGTGTCCCCTGCAGGTTAATGAGTTTAAACTTTTACAGCTCGAAGAGTTTCAGGCGTCGCACAAGCTGCTCAACCAGTTGAGCCGTCCATTGCTGCAGAGCTCGTCTCCTCCGACCTCTCATGCCTTATTTCTCTAACACGATTCACACTTTTGAAGTGAAAAGTATTTCTCCTTTAGTCATATGTCTTTCGTAGAGCCGTAACATTAACACGTCTCATCACATGTAGAAGAAAACGTAACAGATCTGATGTGAGCCGAAGTTGTTTAATTCAATTCATTTCAGTTTATTTATGAAGCGTCAAGTCACAACAGAAGTCGTCTCAGGGCATCGAACAGAAACATTCGCGTGTGTGAAAATAATTTGAACATTATTTATCTGAGGAGCAGACTGCTTAGAGTTTAACTTCATCGCAGACTCTCATCTTGAGCAAGCATGAAGGCGACAGTGGAAAGGAAAAGCTCAATCATGAGGAAGGAACCTCCAGCAGAACCAGGCTCAGGACAAACAGCCATCTGCTCTGACCGGCTGGGTTTGAGAGGAACAGGACGGAGGAACAGATACACAATGGCAGGTCGAGAATCACATGTTGATAGATATAATATCAAATGAAAACTATTCAATTGTAACAATTCATTTTAAGAAATAAGGTCAATTTGTCCTCCAGTGTCTAAGCTTAAGGCAGCATAACAAGCCAACCTTAACTATAGTTAGGAAATTATGGCACATTAAGATATGTAATATAAGATGGAGCTAGGTTGTTGAGGGCTTTGTAGGTTAGAAGTAAGATTTTGAATTCAATTCTGGGTTTGACAGGGAGCCAGTGGAGAGAACCTCAAACTGGAGAGATGTGATCTCTCCTACTAATTCCAGTTAAGACTTTGGTAGCAGCATTTTGGATTAACTGGGGAGTTTAGAAATAATTTAACATCTACAAAACATGGTTAAATAATGACAACTTTAATAACATTTTTATCATATTCCAGCTGGACGTAGTGTCAGTGTTTAAAATAGATAAATGCTGTTGTTATTTCCAAGTCTGTTCCTGAAAATGTATATACAATACATTATCATATTTATCTTACTCAACTCATAATATGAGTAGATGCTGTTTTGGCAGCAGGTTAGATTTACATTTATTAGAGCAAAATATCTAAACTTAAATTACTACAATCTTTAATTTGGTGCATGGATCATGTTTTACTATAAAAAAAAAAAAGTCAAACTATGCCATTTTTTCCTCTTTATTTATTTTAATTTGAGTAATCTTTCCAACACAAAAAGAACTTTGTTGACCTAGATTTGGTTTAGGCTTGCACACACACAGTTTTTTTGTTTCTTTCCAAATATCAGGAATTAACAAACAGGATTTTTGTTGTTGTTCTGAACAATAACAGACTGATTGTATGAGCAGCTCTGTTGCAAGCTGTTTTACTTCACAAGGACAGGAAGCGGAAAATAAACGGGAACACGTCCACAAATGCTTTCTAAGAAATCCCATCAGAATAACAGCTTTATTTAGGAACACATACAAGTTTTATTCTTCCAAAGTAATAATAGGCTAAAATGATGTTAGCCATTTCCAGTATTCTAACCCTGCAGACAATGTATCATATTTAAAAAATCAGCAAATCTGCACAACCATTTATTGTTTATATCGTTTTGCTTGACAAATGATGTCGATTTTATCAGTGAATAGCAAATATATTAGCATTTATTCATGACTGTTAACTTATTCATTCAGCTCAGTATGGTTTGCATGCCTTAGGAGGGAACA